CATAACATCCAACATCGCAACGTCCAATGCTAAAAAAATTCGACGTTCATGACGTCCAAAAGTTGAGTGCCAATCAATGCTTATCAAATGAACGTCATGATCACTGGATGTCATCAAATCGGCATGTCATGAATTTGGACGTTGCAAGCTATGACGCTATGAACTCCGCCAATGGGCACGGTATCGGATTATTTTGTATATTATCAACACTGAGTGTCGCGATTTTGCATGACGTGATTCCTGTACCTCACGATCTTGGACGTTTTGATGATCTCCCATCATGGTCAGCACTGCACGTAACGTCACCGGCGAGGTTATTGGCTTACTATTTGAAATACACTGTGCACTGTTATTCGCAATCCATCTTTCCTACGAGCTAGGAGGGGCTAAGGCCTACGCCTGTCGCCATGTTGTCACGAATGCATGTTTAGACTATAACTAACGTTGGATATTTATTATTGGTCTAATCCCCTACGCTCGTCACCATGACGCGCATATTGAGACTATAACTAACGCTGCGGATCGGTGATTAGTCTGAGGCCATGAGCCCGTCGTCACCAGGTGCATGTCGAGATAGCTTATGTTGAAGACCTTCCTGCACACAAAAGACCTTCTTACACACTTCCTACCTTTGAATATACACTAAGCGCGGGGCTGGGCTTTGGGCGGACTGTCTGGTCGTGAGGCGCTGACATTCAGAGCATCTTGGGGGGGGGGGGGGGGTGGCGGTGAGGGAAGGGAGGACGAATGCCGGATGAAAGATGAGCCGGGGCTGGATTGATTGAAGCTCGGCCAACCGCGGCACCCGGTTGATAAGCCAGTCTCGCGCGGCTGGTGTTGGGCAGAAATGTCGCGTGTCTCGCAACAGCTGATGGTTTACGTCAGCGGGAGATGTCGTGACGGACATCGCTCATCTGTCGGATATCGCACGTGCTGGGTATGACGGTCGCACGCGTTGGGCCTGACGGGCGGGCGGGTCTGGGCCTAACAGTCGTACATGCTGGTCTGACGTTTGGACGGGTCTGGACCTGACTGTCGGGCGGTTCTGAGCCTGACGGCCTCACGTGTTGGGCCTAATGGTCGGACGGGTCTGGGCCTGACGGTCGGGCGGGTCTGAGCCTGACCGGCCTCACGTGTTGGGCCTGACGGTCAGGCAGGTCTGGGCCCTGGACGGTCGGACGGGTCGAGCTGCCGGCCTCACGTGTTGAGCCTGACAGTCAGGCAGGTCTGGGCCTGACGGTCGGACGGTCTGAGCCTGATGGCTTACGTGTTGGCCTGACGGTCGGGAGGTCTGGGCCTGACGGTCGGACGGGTCTGGGCCTGACGGTCGGACGGGTCTGGATCTCACCGCCAGGCAGGTCTGGACCTGACGGTCGGGCGGGTCTGAGCCTGACGGCCTCACGTGTTGGGCCTGACGGTTCGGACAGGTCTGGGCCTGACGGTCAGACAGGTCTGGGCCTGACGGTCAGACAGGTCGGGGCCTGACGGTCGGGCGGTGTCTGAGCCTAACGGTCGGACGGGTCTGGATCTGACGGTCAGGCAGTCTGGACCTGACGGTCGGGCGGGTCTGAGCCTGACGGCTTCACGTGTTGGGCCTGACGGTCGGGACAGGTCTGGGCCTGACGGTCAGACAGGTCTGGGCCTGACGGCCTCACGTGTTGGGCCTGACGGTCGGACAGGTCTGGGCCTGACGGTCAGACAGGTCTGGGCCTGACGGCCTCACGTGTTGGGCCTGACGGTCGGACAGGTCTGGGCCTGACGATCTGGCAGGTCTGGCGAGGAGGCTGTCACGGCTCGCGGGCCTGTGACCGGTGACGGTTCGGCCGGTGACTGACGACGGGACGGACGCCAGCCCACTGGCGGAGTACTGTGGCGCTGGCCGGGACTGGGCCGACGAGCGAGCCCGGCCGCTGACCCGGCAGGTCATACCGGGGTCATGCCCGCTGGGTCCGTCGTTATGCCGTTGACCTGGTGAGGGCGAGATTAATGGATGAGGACGGCGGCGAGCGTGGATCAAATTACGCGGGATGGGCATCCGGTCATTGGGCGGGGCGGAACACCGAGTTGATAGGGGCGGTCAGGCGACCGTCGATTTCCGGTGGTCAGCTACAGCTGGCTGCTCGGGCCTCCAGTGTGTGTTCTCACACCATGCTTTTTTGCTCTATTTTGCTAAATTATGCATACAGCAAGCTGCCTTTATCACGGCGTCCCATTCACTTGAATTGGCTGCTGTTCAAACTGAAGCCGTTTCCAAATGATCGAAGTCTTCGCGAGGGTAAACAGCGCAGTCTACCACATCGCGCATTTGCTACAATCTGCTACAAAAATTGCTCATCGGAGCACGATTTTCGTGACCTCAGTTGAGGACCCAGTTTATTTCAACTTGCCTCTGTTGCACCAGCCGCTGTCAAGTACAACTGCCATTGCGACCGCTTCTTAGCTCAGATGCCGTCAAGTCATGGCGATTCAGCTATCCAGCTCTGAGCCGGACAGAAAATCAATCTAGCGGCAGCCACTGCAGAAAATCGTTAGCGAAAACCCTGGCTAAATAGCATCTCTCCGGGAGGCCCGCGTCGGCTCAGTCTGGCGCCAGGCGCCTGACTTTCCCGCGACCACCGCTCCGGCGCCGACGTGATCAGACGCGGCTGAAGGTCAGGGAAGCCCCAGAGCTGGACTAGCAGGTTGCTAAGGGCGGTTCCCCAGAGGCGAATTAGCGCAATGAGCGGAAGAGAGATGTGCAAGAGACGGAAGGAAGCCAATGATTTACTACTGCTGTATGGATACTACATTCACATTGAAAAATATATCAATATTGGCTAATATTCCATGATTCGGCGCAGTCCATCAAATAATCAGTAACTTGCTCTGTAAGTCAAAGTAACAGGCAACTTGCTCTGTAACTCCAGTAATATCAGCGCTGGTTAGCGCAGCTAACAAATAACTTGCTCTGTGCTCTGTAACTCAAGTCACAAGTAACAACTCGCTCTGTAACTCAAGTAGCAAGTAACTTGTTCTGTAACCCAAGTCACAAGTAACTTAGTATATAACTCAAGTAATAAGTCACTTAGGCCGCAAATCAAGTAATAAGTCACTTACTCCGCAAATCAAGTAACAAGCAATTTGCTCTGTAACTCAAGTAAAAGTACTTTTCTCTGTACCTCAAGCCGCTTAGTAACTCAAGTAATCAGCAATGCCAGTGACGAAAACGTACGCCGTTTGTGAGTGTTAGGCCACATCCCCGCAGAAGGCGCCCTCTGACCATCCCTAGTGCCGTTAGCCAAAAGTGAGATGGCCGCTGCGTCTCCATGGAGGCCCAGAAGCTCTCAGGAGGTCTTCACAGAGCTCTTAACCCATGCGTAATCGAACTATTAAATTCAATTTGAGACGCAAGCCCGCGGTTCCAAACTTTCCGCTCAACTCATTTCCGCGCAAGATGGATGACTCAGCGTCTCCGGAACTCCCAAGACACGCTGCACAAAGACGTTGGGCATACCGAGACGCTGTAACAAGCCCAGTCACCCAGCCCAGGTGGGAAAACTCTCCAGGACATGATGACGAGCGAGCGCCGCCAATGTCATGCGTTGAACCGTTCCCTGTCGCAAACAATGCCCGACTCCCCGAAGCGAAGAAGCCCGCGATGTGAGAATTTCATTTAATATATTTCTTCAGTCATCTGAGACGAAAAGCGCGGTGGCGCCGTGTGGCCTGATGTTATGACGCGCTGAACATGCTACATTCGTCGTTCTACTTGCTGTACCCTGCGCGAATAGGCTTTACGGGCAGGGAACGTGTGAACGATAGCATGGAGTATGTGATGGCGAGAAATGCAGAGAATAGAGCTCCCGGAAAACAATCCTTAGAATGACCAGCATTCATGACGGTTGAAAAGGGAGTCGTTACCATCATCAGATGCGAGTAATATCAGGGTAAAGGGCATCGAACAGTAATAGGAGGGCCTTTGTCGCCGGAGATACCAGCTGCTCCATCTTTCGTAGCCCATAAATCCCTGTACAAGTTACTCACCACCGCACCGCAGAACAGAACAAATAATTTGGAGAGCTGATCTTCTCAGGCTAAACACGCGTTATCCGCGACTGTTCCGTTGTGTTCTACGCATCAGGCGTTGCGGAAATGACCGCAGTCGAGCGCCCTGACACTAACACGTAAGTTTTTCCTTCTCGCGTGTGTGGGGAAGGGGGACTCATCACGACGGTATACGCGGGTACTTCTTTCCGATTCCCCAACATTTTCCCCAAACCGATGAAACCAAGGGCTTTGGATAGAAAATAATTTATTCAACCTAACTAGCTTTCGAGAACAGGCACTAAACTCTCCACTATCCGACATCGAGGAATCAAACATTTTCTAAACCAGTGTCTGCGCATGCGCCGACAGGCGTCTTGCGTCGGCTGAGTCGTCGCTAGCCTGAAGTACGTTCCTGGCCATCGCAGCCATGCCGGGCCAGCGTCTCCAACTGACTGAGGTAGTCGGTGGTCGGGCGCCAGGCGCGCGTCTACAGCTAGCGTGAAATTACTCTAGATGCGGCGCCCCCGAACACAAGGCAGCTGGCAGCCCGGGCACCACGCGGTGGCCGCTCGGTCGCCCCGACTTACAACTAAGCAGCCGTCCTGGCTCGGCGGACTCGGTGGCCGCGCCGCGCCGGGCGGCTCGAGCCGGCCGCGCGGTGCCGCGGCGTGAGGATGAGTTGGACGGCGGCGGGTCGAGGACGACTCCACGACACGTGCTTGGTCGAGTGAAGAGTGAGCAGGCGGTTCCATGCGACTCGGGTCATCACGGGGCGCCGAGGGGTTCCCGGCGCAATGAGCTGGCGGCGGGGAACGGGCCGGCGCGCCACACAGTGGGGCCGGCTGACTCGGATCTATCTACGGCGCTGCGGCTGGGCGTGCCCCGCCCCTCGGCCGGCGGCTGATATCCAGCGGCGAGCGGCGGCGCCGGCCTGCAGCCTCCGCCAGAGCAGCCGTCACCGACGGCCGGCCGCGGCCGCGGCGGCACGCCGCCGGACCAGTCCAAGGCGTCTGCTCCGGGCCCGACTCGCGGTCGGAGTCGGGCTGACTCTGAGTCAGTACGAGCGGCGCGCGCGCTTGGCGACCGGTCCGATGCCGAGCTCGCGACTGCGCTTCTCGAAGAAGCGGCGCAGCTTCTCGCAGTCCCTGCCGAGCGGAGAGCACGCATGGTCAGCGGCGCGGCGGGACGCCGGCCGGCCCGGACACCGCGGCCATGCCAACTCTCTGACGCACTCTGACGCTCGCTGACGAACGAACGCACCACCCGTCTACGCCTAACTCCCACCACACACCCACACCTACCGGCACCCAGCGTGGCTGCACAAGCTGCACACCGGGATCACATACTAGTATAACGCGCTACACGCTCACGGAGGCTCTCATGCTGATGACAGCGGCCGCGGTTGAGGGTATTTCAGCTTGAGCTGCCACTCGGCGCCCCTGAACCCCCGATCCCCACCAGCTCCTGAACGAGTCTCAGCCCTCCGCCCCTGATTCCCATCAGCCCCTAAGCGAGTCTCGGCCTCTGTTCTCTGATCGCCACTAGCCCCTGACCAGGTCTCGGCCCCTCGTCCCTGATCCTGAGCGAGTCTTGGCCCCTGGTCCCTGATCCTGACCGAGTCTCGGCCCCTCGTCCCTGATCAAGTCTACCCCTGACAGCCACCTTGAGATCTGCGCCTTGGAGTCGTTGTACATGGCGCAGTTGGAGAAAATGAGGCCGGCGTCGGCCACAAACTCGGCCGTGCTGGTGTAGTCGCCGGTGCTCAGCTTCCGCTGCATCGTGCTGATGTCCATCGGCTCGCGCACGATTTGGTAATAGTCGGGCGCCTGGAGGGCGACGAGGCGTTAGCGTCAGCGGCCGGAGCCGACGGGGCAGGGAGATAGGGGGCTAGCGTCAGCGGCCGGCGCCGACGGGGGAGGGAGATAGGGCGTTAGCGCCAGCGGCCGGCGCCGACGGGGGAGGGGGATAGGGCGTTAGCGTCAGCGGCCAGCGCCGCCGGGGGAGGGAGGTAGGGCGTTAGCGTCAGCGGCCAGCGCCGACGGAGGAAGGAGATAAGGCGTTAGCGTCAGCGGCCGGCGCCGACGGAGGAAGGAGATAAGGCGTTAGCGTCAGCGGCCGGCGCCGACGGGGGAGGGAGATAGGGCGTTAGCGCCAGCGGCCGGCGCCGACGGGGGAGGGAGATAGGGCTTTAGCGCCAGCGGCCAGCGCCGACGGGGGAAGGGGACGGGCAACGCAATCCCACCACACGGCGGATGAGGCCAGTGGTGACGCACTACGCCAATCAGCACGCCGCAATGGCTACGGGCCGGCTGGAACCCATCGCCAGAGAGTGATGATGTGTGCCGAATGTAATCTTAGGCCAGGAGATGACAAGTGATATCTGTTGAGCCATTATAAAGAGCAAAGTTCGACTCACTTGGCTACTAGCACCTGAATTTGGACTGGCCATTACCGCTTGCCCATTCGCAGGCGTGCTAAGCGCAGAAAGTGTCACCGACAACGCCGGACAGTGTCTGGGTTCACCTCAGCTATGGCCACGACCTGCGCACGCCCGGCGCGCCCAGTATTCTCCCAGCCTCAGTCTAGACCAGACCTGGCCAGCCCAATGACGCACCTCCCTGGTCTTGACAGGGCGAAGGAAGAGGTCGCTGCCCGGATGTCGCCTCATCTCGTCCAGCAGACCGGCCAGCAGGGCGGTGTCCAGCCGGTCGTCCGGAGCCGCGCCGCCTGACCCGCAACAACGCCGCGTCAGACCGACGACGGAAATCAAACATCACGTGGCGCCGGGCGAGACGAACTTCGACGATCAGACAAGGCCATGGACGGTCGGCACGACGCGTGTCCGACAGAGTTAAGGGAGGCGGGTGTCGGACATGACCAGGAGCAACAGAACCCCTAACAGCAGGGCTAGCGGCATCAGCAACAGCAGAGGACGTCACCTGACTGACGATGCCGAGTGTGCGAACGGGGCCGGATAAACAGCGAACCGCGCCGGGCGCGACGCACTCGAGCCACGAGCCCGGCGCCTCGCGCGGTCTCTCCGGCGGACTCACCTCGCCTCCTCTTGCCGACCGAGCCGGCCGCCTGCGGCGACGCCTCGCGCGGTCCCTCCGGCGGACTCACCTCGCCTCCTCTTGCCGACCGAGCCGGCCGCCTGCGGCGACGCCTCGCGCGGCCTCTCCGGCGGACTCACCTCGCCTCCTCTTGCCGACCGAGCCGGCCGCCTGCGGCGACGCCTCGCGCGGCCTCTCCGACGGACTCACCTCGCCTCCTCTTGCCGACCGAGCTGGCCACCTGCGGCGACGCCTCGCGCGGCCTCTCCGACGGACTCACCTCGCCTCCTCTGCCGACCGAGCTGGCCACCTGCGGCGACGCCTCGCGCGGCCTCTCCGACGGACTCAACCTCGCCTCCTCTTGCCGACCGAGCTGGCCACCTGCGGCGACGCCTCGCGCGGCCTCTCCAGCGGACTCACCTCGCCTCCTCTTGCCGACTGAGCTGGCCGCCTGCGGCGACGCCTCGCGCGGCCTCTCCGGCGGACTCACCTCGCCTCCTCTTGCCGACCGAGCTGGCCGCCTGCGGCGACGCCTCGCGCGGCCTCTCCGGCGGACTCACCTCGCCTCCTCTTGCCGACCGAGCCGGCCGCCTGCGGCGACGCCTCGCGCGCCCGCCGCGACGCCGGCGTCGACTTCTTGGACGAGCCGCCGCCGCTCCGCTTCGCGCCCCTCGAAGGGCGCTTGGCGGGCGGCGACGGCGACGGCGCCTCGGCCGGCTGGTCCTCGTCCGCCGACGCCTCGTCCTCGTCCACCGACTCGTCCACCATGTGAAAGGCGCGCCGCTGCTTGCGCGGGCTCTTGGGCTTCTCCTTCGGCCGGCAAGTCGAGCAAAACCAATCACCCTTCGGGATGCTCTGCCGGAAGCGCGCACGTCTCACGTTACGCCGAGTAAGGCGTAGGGCTTAGGGCGACGATGCTTCAACCCGCCTGTTGCAGGCCTGCTATCCTCCGCCATAGTCAACCCAAGGACACCTCGTGACCCAGCGAGTACGTTACCAGATGAAACGTCCCACCATTGTCGTGCATAGCCTGACAACTCAACGCCACTAATACATAAGACGGAGGTAACGTCAACAACCCACATCGCGCAACTACCGCGAGGCCCAAGCCTCCAGCAGCAGACACACCTTCATCTTGGGGGTGAGGCAAGAACATGTGAAAGCCCTTGTCACACCCGTCGCAGAGCAGCATCTTGTCCGGGTCGGACTTCTTGCGGCAGATCTTGCAGCGGGCGTTGAGCGCCGAGCGTGACCACAGCACGGCCGACTCCAGCTGCGCAAAGTGCACGAACAGCTGGGAGAGTGAGCAGCTGGCCATGAGCGACGCCTCCCACTGCTGCAGCGCCGAGCCGGGGTCGCCTGCGAGCGCCGACGCGGGCCGGGTCAGGGGGAGGGGGAGAGGCACCGGCGCCGTCGCCACACAGCACCGCACACGCGCCGTCGCCGGCGATGACAGCAGCCGAGCGCTACCCGAAACCGGTTTAAACGTCGCTGCGAAGCGAATTCCACATGCGATGCATGCACATCGCCCAGGCGGGCGTTAATGGCAAAAGCGGGTGCGTGATGACCTAGCACCATCATCACAGCGCGTCGGTTCCTAATGAATGATAGCGTTCCTAGTCATAACTTCAACTATGAACAAATCACGCATCTCTGTAGCCAGCCGAGCATGCCGCCCGCACGGTGGCCTCAGCTGATGTGACGCCGACGGCGGTCGGGCCTCACCGAGCGGCTTCTGCAGGTATCTGCGGTCGATGCCTTGCTCCAGCTGGAGGATGGCCGAGGCCAGCGAGCGCACCAGATGGCGCCGCTGCAGCCGGCGGGAGAGCTCGGGCGCCGACGGCGGCCGCTCGGCGGCAGAGGCCGCCACCGGCGTGCTGGTGCCTGAGACGTCCACGCTCTGCCGGCGTCCGAATCCCGGTCAGAGTCCACGGCGGCCAGAGCGGCGCCAGCGTCACAGGCCACGCACCGTCGGCGGCGAGGTCGCGTCAGAGGTCACGCGTCACACTGCCGGCCGCGGCGGAGTGATCAGAGGTGTCCCCTCGGTCAGGCTGGGCCAGGCGGTCGGGGTCAGGCTGGGCCAGGCGGTCGGGGTCAGGCTGGGCCGCGGCGGTGTCAGGGTTACGAGGTCGGTCAGGGGCACGCTCCACCGCCGCGGCGCCCAGCGTCAGAGGTCACTGCAACGAGGCAGCGGGGACGGCCAGGGTCAGATAACAGCCTGCCAGCGAGGGTCCTGGCCAGAGGTCGCACTCTCCAGAGCTGGGGCAGGCCAGGGTCAGATAACAGTCTGCCAGCGAGGGTCCCGGCCAGAGGTCGCACTCCCCAGAGCTGGGGCAGGCCAGGGTCAGATAACAGTCTGCCAGCGAGGGTCCCGGCCAGAGGTCGCACTCTCCAGAGCTGGGGCAGGCCAGGGTCAGATAACAGTCTGCCAGCGAGGGTCCTGGCCAGAGGTCGCACTCTCCAGAGCTGAGGCAGGCCAGGGTCAGATAACAGTCCGCCAGCGAGGGTCCTGGCCAGGGGTCGCACTCTCCAGAGCTGGGGCAGGCCAGGGTCAGATAACAGTCTGCCAGTGAGGGTCCAGGCCAGAGGTCGCACTCTCCAGAGCTGGGGCAGGCCAGGGTCAGATAACAATCTGCCAGCGAGGGTCCTGGCCAGAGGTCGCACTCTCCAGAGCTGGGGCAGGCCAGGGTCAGATAACAGTCTGCCAGCGAGGGCCCTGGCCAGAGGTCGCACTCTCCAGAGCTGGGGCAGGCCAGGGTCATGCCGCATTTCGCCACGGTACCCCTCCACGGGGTCGGAAGGTCATTAGGCAGGACGGGACCACGGGCCGCAAGCTGGGGATGGCCCCACTAGGTCAGGGCTAGAAGCCCAGTCTGTGGATCACTGGCATGCTCCGTGGGGGAGTCGGATTTAAAAAGAAAGTTCTCCAGTCCGCGACAGTTAGCGTTAGACGCTACACTATGTGGATGGGAAGCGGGGGGGGGGGGGGGGGGGACGTACAGGTTCACGACCGTGCGGGGTTAGAATCACAATACGCGAAGACCAAGGTCAGTGGTCTTATCAAACGTTGGGCATCGGCAGGGGACAACACGTAGTTTCTGCGCTTGATGAGACGTGTCGCATTCAATGAAGTCGGAAAGTGCACGCAATCAGCGGCTCGGGCAGGCACAGATGCTGCAGCATGCCTGACAATAATCAAGCAGCCACACACAGCACCACGATATGATAAACAAATCACTGTTTCGAGTCACGTCGACGGATGTCAGATCGCACCAAAAGCCAGGCCCCCCTACGTCCGCCATGCCACTGTTTCCTGACAGGCCACCCTGCTGAACACCCAAGTCAAACCTACTCCTTCGACTGTGCGCCGAGGGGGACAGCGGCGGCAAACAGCGGCCACTCACGTTGTCGGCCGAACAGGCGCCGTCGGCACCCCAGGTCAGCTTGTCACACTGCTGGTCATAGGAGCGTTCCACCAGCGCCTGTCGCCACACGCTGAGGTCGAACACCTGGCGGGCGCGGAGGCCGGGTGATGGTGGGCGGTCACAGGTGCGTCAGCGCGTCACGGACACCAAACGGCGCGCCACGCTGACAGTGACGAGACGTACACTGCGAGCCTCCCACGTCTCCCAATGGCGCTACATTTCACAAGCACACACACCATGACTTGTGCCCGAGGTGAGCATGCAATAATTAACCCACAGCAAGCGCTTGAGGCAGCGAGGGAGGTGAAACGCTGCAATCCTAAACGAACATCCGCGCAAGGTACCTGAATGGTGCCGAGGCAGCCGAACCGAATCTTCTCCTCACACTCCAGGATCATGTCCCGCAGGAGCAGCTCCTGGATCTCGGCAGCCGGTGTGCCGGCCGGGAAGTTATAGTTGGGATCAGAACCGGTAGATGTCGGGTCACGCCGCGGCCGACGGTCAGTGCCCTGTGTCAGGTCATTGCGAGGACAGCGCTCCACACCGCGGCGTAGACTGTCACCCGCCTGAGAAGGGAACGATGTGTTACAACACATGTTGTGTCCACGCTGGTAGTTCAATTCGCCAACGCTTATTCACAGTACCATTCTGCAGTGTTTAACACTGACCCCATTCACTTATATACCACTATCCCACAGCCATAAGACCCAACCATCCAGCCATCACAGCACCATTGCAGGACCACTACACCACCCCAAAGAAGCACCAGCACCCCTCATGACTGTCCCACCGCCAGCTCACCTGGGCGATGGCTGCCTTCAGCTCGGCCTCGCGGACGCCGCGCTCGTTCAACGTCGCCACCAACACGTCCAGGTGCTCCAGGGTCGGGGCAGAAGGACCAGGTGGCGCGCGGCAGGATGGTCGAATGCACCGGACACTCGTCGCCAGCGGCCGTGCAGACGAGCAGGCGACGGTCGGGCGGCGCGGCGTCGGCCGGCGGCAGCGCGCGCAGCTCGGCCGCCAGGTCGACCTCGCCGGCCACCAGCTCGTCGAGGCGCGCCTTGGCGTCGGGCTCGGCCGGCGCCGGCGCCCGGCTACCGTCCGGCTGATTCTGCTCGGTCAGCGCCGCCAGCCGCTTGGCATAAGTCTTGGGCGCGGGCGCGGGTGCCGGCGTGTTCTCCTTGTCGCTGGGACTGCCGTGGTCGGGCGCGGCGGCGGCGGCGGCGGTGGCGGCAGGCGCGCCGGCGCGCTGCAGCAGCCGCTCCGACAGCAGGCCGCGCAGCACGTCCGCCCGCTCGCCAGCGGCGGCCCCGCTCAGCTGCCGGTTGTGGGGCGTGGCTGTCGGCAAGCAGGCGCCCACTGTGTCGTCGTCGTGCTCGATGAAGAGGCCGGGCAGGGCGCGGCCCAGCCAGTAGCGGCGGTAGGCGGCGGTCGCGGCCCAGCGGCGTCAGCGCGAACTGCTGACTCAGATCGGCCAGCTGCTCAAGCAGGCGCGACTCGCGGCGCGCGAACTCGGCCAGCTGGCGCTCCTCCTCGCGCCGGCGGCGGCGCCGCTCGGCCTCCGGCTCCGGCGCCGACTCGGGCGGCTCCTCCGGCTCCGGCGGCGGCTCGACGTCGGCCGACGTATCGCCGGCCTCGGCCGACGCCTTCAGCTGCTCCAGCTGCTGGCGCTGGCGGTCCTCCCGGCGCTCTGTCACCCTGCAGCCAGACCAGGAGCACGTCAGCGGCCGAGGCCACCACTAACAGACAACTCTGCACGCCGGCATTCGCTGGGCAAACACCCACCAAACCCTGACCGGAAGGACCGCTAC